GCGGTTACTTCCGCTAGCGTTACTAGCAACACAGCGCCAGGCAACAAGGGTGCCTATTACGTGGCCGTTTTCCGTATTGTCCGATCAAGGCTACATAAGGAGCAGCGAAGGCTATTCACAGTTAGTTGTACTGTGACAGTCAGTTAGTCCTGGAGCTACCGCCGAGTGAGTACGCGAGCTACCTCCGAGTTAGTTCCGAGTTAGCCAGCAACCAGTCAGTTGTATTGTGGCATTTGGAGTGTACTAATTGTGATACTGCAGATAGCAGTAATCGTAAATCTGTAATTTTGGTGATTGTATGAGCGAATGTGAAATAAAATTCGCTATATAAAATACGGCGTGAAGTTATTTGTCGCGATATACGCCCGATACGCGACAATATGAACTTATCACAGTTACCACCAATGTTTCAGTACACCATGCATAAAAAAAACTTCTAGTATATATAAAAAGTTAAATTATTTAATTTTAATATTGATATTCCTTATATATACCTGATTTCTGCATCTTTAGTCGTTCGGTTGAGTTCACTCTGTAAGAACAGTTTCTCATCTTCCAGACTGTCTGACACCTTCTGTAGTTTTGCATTTGCCTTTTGAAGTTTCTCATAATCAGAATTCAGTGCATCAATCTGCAAAACAGTACATACATACATGCATATATGCATACATAAAATCATTCAAATTACACACTGCACATTTCTGTATATAAAAACAGCATTTACAATCTTACATTCTGTTTTACAATTTTATAACCAACAAACTCAACTAAACTAACGAAACTCACCACTAACTCCCTGCTAATAAAATTCAAAAGTTCAACACTCCTAATATTACGTCTTCTATAGGACATGATCATGAGCCAGACCCCATCCACCTCCCACCCTCACAACCCAGTTCCCTAAGATCCATGTTCAAGTTATTTCTCTCTTCCCTTCTCAAACTTTCAAGTGGCTGCTCTCTACCAAAATTCCCAAACATGGTGAGGCTTCTCTGCTAGTGACATCACAACATTATAAAATTTACAGAGATAAAAGGCCTGCGGAATATGTTTACATTTTACCAAATCAGTGTGTAAGTAAAATTTCACTACGAAAAAATATTACTATGATTCAAGACACTTCTGATGTTCCCCCAGTTATTTCCTGGGTATCCCATTGGCTGCTTAGATTGCAAATTACTGAATGATTAACTAACTACCCCACTTCTATTCAAAGTTCACAGTTATTCAGCTGCTCAAGACAATCCCTGCTCTTATGGAACCCATAACTTCAGTACTCTGAGCCAGCTCCAACCAGTTCTTGCTCCTATGACCTTTTTCTCAAAAAACCATCTTAATACTGTCCTCCCAGCTATGCTTAAACTTCCTGTATTTTCTTCTCCTGAGGTATTCTGACCAATAATTTCTCTGTAACATTTGCTACATGTGCCACAAATTGCATCCTCCTGTAGTTAATCACTGTAATAATATTATGTACAGTTTAAATTGGCAGCTCCTCATTACATTATTTTCAACATCCTTCTCTTACTTCATCTTCCTAGGCACAATATTCTCCTCAGCATTTTGTTCTAGAACACCTTACCAAGTCTGTTCACACCCAGATGGGTCATGAATTTAAAGCTTGTGTTCTGATACCCAAAAACATTATTTTCATTTTTATTACATCAGCAGAGAACTCATTTTATCTTGAAATGTGCAGAACCAATAGGAATCCTTCAGTGAGTTCCATGACTTTTTGAAATACAGTTTGTGATTCAGATTTAGTGCTCTACTGCTATATAGATGCAAGCAAGCATGCTTTTTTTTTCTTTCTCTCTCTTCCACAAACACATGCACACACAGAGCATTAGCCCACAAACAAAATGTTTCACTTTCTGGGCTCCAAAAATAGTGACCACAAGAAACTTAACAGAGACTGATGATGAGTACATATTTGCCTCAATCTAAAGGTATGCATGGCTAAGTAGAATTCTAAAACAACTCCTACATTTAAGTAGCAGTTCTGGGGCTCCACTCAACTGATTTACTTAAGATCATGAAATAATATATGAGGACAATTACCATGACAAACTAATAACACTGTGACCATCACAATCCTACTTATGTTCTATACTGCATCTCAGATTTTAGTATTCAAAGTACCAGACTCCAAATACTAACCATTGCATTGATTTCCATTCTGTTTTTGTCTAAAGCATTTTTCTCACTCCGAACAGAATCAAGAGATTTCTGCAGCAAATCCTTCTCCTGCACCAGCTGTGAGCAACGGGAACGACAGGAATCAAGCTGCTCCGTCAGTTCCCCCACTTTAGTTTCCAGGGTTTGCTGACTGTCTTCAGCATTCTCGCACTGTCTCTTGAAAAGTATCAGCTGTTCCTTGCTTGACTGAAGCTTCACCTGATGGAGCAACTCTGGTGCTTATTGAACTTTATTCTCCAGACAGAACTAATTAATTAGAGTAAAGGAATGAAGGAGAAAGGGAGCAGACAAAGAGATTTCATAATATCCAAACCACGATGATTCTCTGAAACATACCACATAATACGGTGAACTACTTTTCATGAAACTACATTTCAACTAAAAAAACTCATGTACCAAACTTAGATAAATTTTATTTCTGGGTCTTCAAAACAGTTCACTCTCAAAGTCTTAGTGAATTTAAAACTGTCCCTGGGCTTAATTAATTAAACACCATATAATGGAGATGTATAGGGGCATGGGGGTATAGCTCCACCTCAGCACTTCATGCTCCAGCGTTTACCTCCAAGGAAAGAAGGAATAGTATCCATTGGACAGGAGGCTGCATGGGCCCCACAGTGAAATGACACAATGAGGAAAACAAAAATCACTTCTCCCCACAGTAAAATGAACCCTGATTATCCAACTGTCCAGTCCTTAACCTAGTCACTATACTGAATAGCTATTTGAATCACACTGGCCAAGCAGGGATACATTCATTTAAAGATTAAAATAAATTTTTAAGAATATTTTGTTTCACATTCACTGAATAGAAAAATAGTTCAGACAAAACAACAATTCATGGAGAAACCTTGTGAGCCATCACACTATTTAGGTGGCTCAATAGTTCATAAGTCCCAAACATTTCAGACATTTGTGGACATTCAACACAAAAGGAGCTGGGACAGCTGAACTGAAGAAAAACTGTCTGTTCAAAGAAATTAGCTTCTGCCAGTTAAGTGACAAGTGCCATGAATGATGACAGCACAATTTACATGCCATGTTGTAGCTATAAAACAAACAAGTATATGAATTAATGGCTTCAGGACTTGGTCATGTTGAATTCTGAAGGTTTCTCAATGTTGTGGTAAACCTTATAATTGTGGTCTTCAGGGTTAATGACATTGGGAGGGGTTCAGTAGCTCTCACATTAGGCAGCGTGTCAGAGGTGAAACAATGACTGGACAAATAAAAGAGTGGAATGCTAATAGACAGTGTCATTGTGGTTATTGAAAAGATGAGATGAAAAATGTGCTGGTAACCAGGTTGTCTTGAGGTAGGTGGGAAAAAACATTTTTGTGATCCTGCATTTAGGATATGAAACAATGGAAGATTTCTTCTCTAGCTTTTTTCTTTTCTTTTCTTCCTTCTTCTTTTCCTCCCCCGCTTCACCACATGTGGGCAGGAAAAAGGGATATTTCCTCTTCCTCCTCCTCTTCTGTCACCTCCTCCTGCCCACATGGACAGGAAAGGGAGTTCCACAATTGCTGGGAAAAGGTGATTCATTGGTAGGTTTGGAGGGGGGCTGAAAAAATGGAAAACCCTCAACATTAGGCATGGCCCAGTACTTAAAGCTTCAGCCACAAAAGCCTAAGGACCAGAAGCAAGAGAATTTTACAGACATCAATGAATTGATCTGAAGTCATCTAACTAACCTGCAACTCATGAATTTGAAGCTGGTATTTGTGTAGTGCAGCTTGGACAGCAGAGATAGTACTTTCTGCAAAAGCTGGAGAAGTAGGTGTGCGCAAAGCTCTTTTTGGTGACCTGAATAGAGAAAATGATGTTAGAATTGTGTACAACAGCAGTAATCTCTAAACTGGGTTTCATGAAACCACTGGGCTTAGTACAGGATCTGATAGCTATTTCTACTCTCAGTATCCATTACCATGGCAAATGCCAGACAAGGATCTTCAATCACATGGTTAACCCAGTACTTTTACCAAAAAGCAAATGTTTTAAAGAAAAGGACAAAATTATGTTAAGTATATACAGAAAAGTGAAACTGTTCCTGTGCTTAAGTAATTAAGCATTAGGCCATGATGATCCATGGAAGAACAAGGGTATAGAGCCATGTATTCTTAATCTCAGCACCAGATGGAAGTGAGTAGTCAGCTTCACACCTCAGCCACTTTACCCCAAGGAAAAGGGCCTCCTTCACCCATTAAATAAGAGGCTGGGTAGACCTCAGAGCCTGTCTGAATGCTGTGGAGAAAAGAAAAATCTCTCGTCCTTGCTGGGAACCAGTACATGGGAAAGAAACATTCTGAGGAAAGTGTATGGGGTATGAGAAAGGGGTATGGAGATCAGAACTAACCAAGAACTGAGGGAATTACATGAAACTCCTGATATGGCAGCAGATATTAAAAGTAGGTTGGCATAGTTAGGGTATACGACTAGAATGGAACAAGGGTGGCTATGAACATTTTTGAGGAGGTAGAATAATAGTAGGAAAGCATGGATTGTGATGGCTGGAAGATGTATAGAATGACTTATGTGAGTTAAAAGAGAAGAGAAATAGGGGAAAAAGCAAAAAATGGAGAATAATGGGAACATGCTATAGAGGACAACACCACAGAGCCAAAGGAGTAATTAAGTACTTAAGTAACTAAATGTGTTAAAAGAATTTCCTTATGGAACAACTCACATAAAAGTTATACTTACAGCTGCAGCTTACTGTCTGGCAGATAATCATATAAACTGAAAAGATACTCTGATTTAGAACATACATATATTCTGTAATATGTTCTTTTTTTAATTTTAAATTGTTTCAGTCTTCATCATTTATTGCCCATACAAACTGGTCAGAACAAGGCTCACCTCATGAATGACAAACCACTGCAGTGTTAGAAAATATTTATACTTCTATCGAAATAAATATCCAGCATATAAGTAAATATTTTTAAAATAGTTGTAGACCACAATAAAATTCAGATTTAATATAAATTATGAAACTTTTAAATAATGAGTCTTCTTCTTAGTCTTTTGGAAATCCAAAAAGATTGATATGAGGATAAAGACAAAACAACTCTGTCCAGTGTGGCTATTGAAGTTTTTACTACTTGAAAACTTAGCACCCTACAGACCATCATCAGATGGACATCGATACTTTTTTAGAAACTTCTAACTTAGAAGTTAGAGCTTCTAACTTCTCACAATGGGTGTTTTGAGTGTTAAAATACATATACATACAATGGGTAATGCACAATATATACAAAATCCAACTTTTCCACAACTACAGAAGCTTTCTTGGTAATTTAAAATTTTTAAAGTTTTTAAAACTTTGTTATTTAAGTTAAAATTTACAAACCAAATAGGATCGTGTCCCTTTTCCTATTGTCTTTCTTGATGGGGGCTGAACTTGTGCCGCCTGTCTCTCTTGAGAAGGTAATTCTTGGTATCGTCCTGTGTTTGTTTGTGGCGTGCTGTGTTGTTTTCACTCCAGTTTTACACACTGTCATCTGTTCATCTGATGTTACAGTCATTGTCATTGTAAACTACAAACAAGTACAAACGTGTATTTATACTTGCCATGATTGGTGAGCAGTCCTGCCATTTTTTTCATGCCCAAAAGGTTTCATGGTTTGTACAAAATGAAACTGCCATGAGGAAGATACTGACCGCTGAGGCACCGGACCAGCAGGAGTAAGATGCAGGTGTGTTGCTGCATGAGGCTGCTCAGCATCCCGACTCTCTGCGTCCTGGATCACAGCATGTGCGATGTCACGAAGAGCATTCTGCAACAACTCCACTTCTTCCTGCATGTGAATCACTTGTCCCACTTCATGTTCTGCCTCTCCACATCTTTCTTCCTGTAAAGTTTCTAAACTTAGTGCACAGAAGCATAAGCACAATACAGAAATACTCAGCCACTCCACCCTGACACAGTCCTTTCATACAAGGAAAATCCTTACTCACTGACTGGCTTGGGAGTTAAGATGATGACTGATTTAACTTAATAAGATACACAGCATAAAATCCCCTGTTGCGTCAGTCCCTTGTCACCACAGCATGGGGCATTCTCAGATGGCAGAGGAAATTTTCTCCAGATATGTGGGTAGCTGCAAATGTTGAATAAGCACTTAAAGACAGATGATAAGTGGTAGTCCTCCAGGATGGGCACTGAACAGGGGGCTATTTACCCATCGCTATAAGAAAATTAGCAAGTTATGCACTATCGTAAAAAGTCTTCATAATTGGACGGATTCTTTCAAACAACATAAGCAACAAACAACAGAAGAAACATCTGGAATTTGAAATGTCAGGAGTCTCTTATATTTGGGTGATCAAATAAAGTATGATCACATGGGTGAGGCATGCAGCAAACATGATGGAAATGAGAAAGGCATACAAAATTTTAGTCCAGAAACCTGAACAGAAGAGAGAACTTTGGATATCAATGCACAGATGGGAGGATAATACCAAAATGGATCTCAGAGAAACTGGGTGCAATAAAAAGCCATTTGAACTGTTTTATATAATTAAATCATAAACATATTTATAAATTATATACAAAATATGTTCAAAAGGTAACAATTACAAACTTGAAAATTGTGAAAACTTCATAGATTGTATCTCAGAAATTTAATATAACGGGAATAAATACTAACGGAATTTATGCCCATAATTATATTGTCATGTGTTCGGTGTATAACGTGACAAATAACTTCACGCCTTAGTGGATATAGCGAATTTTATTCCACATTCGCTCTTACAATCACACAATTTACAGATTCACAATTACTGCTATCTGCAGTATCACAAATACTAGACTGCAAATGCCAGAATACAACTGACTGGTTGCTGGCTAACTCGTTACTCTCCGCTGGCTAGATTGAGAACTGTCTTGAATAGTCTTCACTGCTCCTTATTTAGCCCCGTTCCGGACAACACAGAAAACAGCCATGTAATAGCTACCACTGTTATTACCGTTGTCGCTCGCAACCACTGCTGTCTACCGCCATGTTTGCCAATAGCCTAGCAACACTGTTGGGAGTTGTTTACCACTACGTAGTAACTGTGGCGTCCCGTGTTACGTCACCGCTGTTGACTCGCGTTGCATAGCAACAAATATGCTGGGACTCGGCTAACTTCAGCTCCGCTCGGTGCTTCACGGCTGGCGGGGGGTGGGGGGGAGGGCCGTCATCCATAGCGCAACACATCACAATATTATAAAATTATGTTATTATTAATTTATAATTATTACTAGTCTCATGACACAGACTGAAGCATATGAGGTGGGCATTATAAGTCCTTTTGACAATTTCATGTTTATCATTCTGACATTAGAACCGTCAACATTTAAAACACTTCACCAATACAAGAACATTCCTTTCAAATATTTCTCATGGGAAAAGTTTCCAAAATCTGTACTTGAGCATTTCATCCATGGTGAAGCTGGGCACTTATCAGAACTAACTACCAGTGTCCTAATTGACTAAAACACTTCTCACTGTGCTAACACATGCTTCATTATGTGAGATTTCTTCGCTGTCTGTTATTATGCTGCAAAGATCAGATATTACATGAACTGTGTTCAAGGTGACAAACCCAGATGGTAACAAATAGGAGGCCAGTATTTCAGCGCTATCTGACCTGGATGTATTTATATTCCTTTTGAAGTCATTATAAACAATAAAGTCTTCTTACACAATCAGCTGTGAAATCTTAAAAATTTCATACCATTATGAACCAAATGTCTCAACACTAAGTTTTCAACTCAATCAAAACAAGTCTGAAATGGGATGGATCCTACTGCATACAAATTCAATTCATATCACACCACATGCATATCTGACTTGGAATTACAGGAATTTTGTGGATATTCTTTACTAATAACTTTTCGCTTAGTGGGGAGTGGACTCCAGCTGGGCCACTCGGCATGGCAGCCACTGATTGGCCTATTGTAACTGCCCCAGGTGATTATGATGATGGAGAATTTGGTGGAATGAAGATTGGTAGGGGAAACCGAAGTACTAGGAGAAAACCCACCCCAGCGCCACTTTGTCCACCACAAATCCCACTTGACCAGACCTGGGATCAAACCCGGGCCACCGCGGTGGAGAGCCAGCAACTAACCACTTGAGCTATGGTGTGACCTACTAATAACTTTACTGATAGCTCTCAGTATCCAATGGTGCACTGACAAACCACATGTGTATGTTTACACTTCCAAACTATATTTTGTTCTGTGTAATATAATGGATGTAATACCAACCAGATTCTGAATTTCTCTCAGCAGGTGTTGAATTCTCTCTTCTTTTTGCTTCACTTCAAACAGAGTTGCCTCATGCTGACCTTGAAGGGAATTAATCTGCGATTTCAAGTCTGCTGCTTCCTGTTCAAGCTGCAGCTGCTGTCGACCCTAAAATCATTATGAACATCGAAGTAAAATATCATCAAACATAAAAGTCCAGGAGTAAATTACACTGACAATCTACAAAGCCAAGAAATGTTACTGGACTCTTAGTGATAATATGGAATTTGGAAATTTCCGAGATTATTTGCATTATATCACATGTATCTTGTGTGCATTTTGAACAACAAAGCATAACCTCTGAGAAACACCGAAAGAGTTAAAAAGTAAAGCTATCCCTGTAATGGGCCATGGAGGCCCACAGGGTTGTGAGAGGTCAAGGCTCCCACATTTCCCAATCAGCTCACAGATGGCAGCGAGGTTGTCAGCCTTATGCGCTGGCCACCCTTTACCCCCAGGAAGATTCCTGGTACTCGTTTCTGTTAGAGGTTCAGTTAACATATGGGCCATTGTGCGGCTAGAACACGTTATGCTACAAGCTGGAAGGTGGTGGGTTTGTTTCCTTTGATTTTTCAGTTGACTGAATCCTTCTAACTGGGGTTGACTCAGTCTCTAACAGAAATGAGTAGCAGGAATCTTTCTGGGGGGTAAAGGACAGATGGTGAGTATGGCTGACAATCTCACCAACATCTGTGAGCCAACTGTCTAGAAAATGTGGGAGCCTCAACCCCCCACAATCCTATGGGCCTCCATGGCCTGTTACAGGGACAGCTTTACTTTTTTTTTTTCTACAATTGTCATGAATATGTATGCATCCTTCAAAGAATGTATGTTAACACTGTCCTGCTATTCGTAATATTGTATTAATGCTTTGTAGTCAACACCTCAAGAGCAGTAACTACAAGGCTCATGAGATAAGATTTAATTAATGACATGTCAGCCAACTGTTATATACTGCCTAATGGCAGATGCTGCATTAGATGAAGGATGCTAAAATAACCATGTCAAACATACAAAGCCGGTATTCATTGTTGTGAATTCAATTTATTTTTAGACAGATGGCTTTCAGGTTTAATCCACAGAAACACTGTGTATGATATGATACCAGTAAACTGATTAATATTCTGCATGAAGATGCATTAGAAAAAAATATGGTTATGCACAAGCATCTTTCACAATACAGGCATACCAAACGGAATACAAGTTTCAAGCAATGTCTGAGTCCTCAGTTAACAGATCAGCATTGGTATGTTTCACAAAAAGAAACTGCTCACCTCTGTCTTGCTAGCTGTCCTTGTCACATTAAATATCTCGCTGCAAACATTGGTCATTTCTCGAGTTGCTGACGACATTTCAGAGTTCAGTTTAGACAGATCTCTCTCTGTTGCTGATTTCATTTCAGCAAATATCCTCTTGACAGAAACAACATCTCGCCAGATATTAAGAAGTCTGTTATGCTCCATTGTGTAGTAATCGTTGAAAGCCTAAAATAAACAAATTTTCACAGTCACCTAAGTTTTGTAACCTGTTTGTGTTCAGTTCAAAAACATGTGACCCCAGAAGAAAAAACATGACTGTAAAGGAATATAAACTTCTTCAGTGTTGCCACAGTATTTGCTTACAGGTTCAAACTGGGAATCAAATGCCAAATGGTGAATATGTAAAATTCACGTATATGAGAAATGAATGTAAATAAATAAGATAAAAAATGGACTATAAACTTGTGTAATGTCAGCGTAATATTGGCCAACAGGAAGAAACTGGCACTTAAATGCCCAAGAAGGAATATGTTAGCAAGGCAGTCACTCAAAATGAATACATTTAATATCTTTTCAGGGCCTTCAATAATATGTTAGACTAGGGATACTATAAATGCATCGTGTACAGTTCTCCTAGTTCATCAAACAAAGATAGAAAATTGAAGGGGCTGGTGCAAAACAGCTGTTGTTCCAAAAGGGGGGAGGTAAAAAGTGAAATGATTTTTGGTTGCTATTTGATTTAGTAAAGCACATGTTCTGGTAAAACATAAGATGCATCCAGTAATGCTTATCTGCGAATGCATATTTAACATGAAGACATTATTTATTTTTTGTTGTGTATGCTTTAGTCTGTCTTTCCTTGTATAAGAGAAGACAGCATTGAAGCATACACAACAAAAGCAAAAAGACTGAAATAGCTGCCAAAAATATACAATGGAAATACCCTATGAAAGAAATTAACAACAAAACAATGACGTGCCTAAGGGCACAGAAGACAAAGTGTACAGTGCAGTGGTCTCCCCAATAATAAGTGTTGCCTGATGATGGCCCATAGCTATGAAAGAAGCTTTTCTTAATTTGGAAAGAGCAGCAAAAAAGATGAATCTACAAATTAACCAAAATAAAACAAAGTACATGCTGGTAACCAAGAAAGACTGTGCTAATGGACCTACATATATTGAAATTGGCTGATATAAATTTGAGGTTTATGTAGTTTCACTTACCTTGGATCAGAAGTTAACTGTAAAAATAATATATGTGATGAAATAAAAAAGCGTGTACTTGCAGGAAATAAATGTCTCCATGGCCTTAGGAAACACCTGAAATCCCAATTAATACCCAGGAAAACCAAAACTATGATGTATAAAGTACTTATAAAATCAGTGCTACCTTATGCCTCTGAGACCTGGCCACTATCAAGATCGGATGAAAGACTGTTAAGTATATTTGAAAGGAGGATCTTGAGATATATCTTTGGACAAGTGGAATAAAATGGAATATGGAAGAAGAGGTATAACCATGAGCTATACAAACTATTTAATGAACCAGACATTACTGGATTTATAAAGGTGAAAAGGCTTGACTGGGCTGGACACATAATACGTGCCAGCGAGAATGGAATGATTAAGAAAATGTTTAATACTAAACAAGAAGGAAATAGGAGAGTGGAAAGACCAAGATTAAGATGGGAAGATGGGTGTAAAGAACTGGAGGAATGTAGCATCGAATGGAGAAGAATGGCAAGCAATCCTGAGGAAGGCCAGGGCTCACAAAGGGCTGTTGTGCCAGTGATGATGATGATGATGATGATGATGATGGTGATGATGGTGATGATGGTGATGGTGATGATGATGATGATGGCCCATGTGTGGCCGAAACTTGTAGCAACAAAGGAATGAATGTATATAGTTAAAGACATGTAAATTTTTAACAGACACTTTTGGTGTATTAAATATATTTAGTGTCTTTTATAAAAGGTTGATATTGTTGCATTATAGATGAAATACTTACAATCTAAAAATGATAATTAGTTAGTTAGTGTAAAGAGCACAGTACTGTTAGTTTCTTGGAACTCTAGCCATGGTAGAGGGGTCATACCATCTTTCATGGAGCTGGGGAGCAGACTTATCAGCTTACGTCAGCGTGGGTACTACCAGTTTGGAATGTAGCATCTTGGATTGTGGTCAGGTGTATAGTACGTTGTGTACCTACTCCTGGACTCCATAGACAATGTTTTCTGCTTGGGGAGTAGCTCTGAACATCGCCACAGCAAGCGTACAGCTTTGTGTGCTCCACAACAGCGTTTACCTTTCCACAAGGCTAAAGTTACGAGGCACTAACTTTACCTGCTCTTCTTCTTTCCATTCGTCCTCCTTAATCAACATTTCCTCTCGCAACTGTTCCCAGTCATTAGTGAGCTTCTGCAAGTCTGATGTGAGAGCATCATTGGTTTGGTGCGATTCTTCCAACTGATCACGAAGGGCTGCATTTACTTGCATCATCTTTTCACATCTGTGAAAAACACAACAAATGAACAAATTAAACTTCCAGCTGGATCATGCACTACAGCATTCTGCTGTATTCTGGGGAATATGTACATTTATGAGAATTACACTGCCATATAATTTTATGTTTCTAGTTGTTTATTACTTCTTGCGCTCCTCATCCAGTCTTCTCAGTGCAGTGTCAAGATCATGGATCCTGCCCTCTCTTATTTCAAGTGAGGAAGGAGCTGAGCCAGCCATTGCTCTAATCGGAGACTCAGACCCTGCTAAACCTTCTGCCATTTGGCCCTCTAGTTCTGCACATCGCTGCTTATACTGCAGGACCTGCAATGAGACAAATCAACTTTAATGATTATCTCAAGCACAATTACAATACACCTATAATTCAACTCAGTAAAAGGTAAAAAGGTAAAATTTTCCCTGTGCTTAACTAATTAAGCACTATGCCATGAAGGTGTATGGGGAAGTGGATGTATAGATCCACATTTTCTTGACCATGGCACTAACTGGAGATGAGTGGTCAGCCTCATGACCCTGTCACTTTACACCCAGGGAAAAAGCTCCCAGTACCCACTGGATAGGAGGCTTGGTGGGCCCCAGAGCTGGTCTGGATGACGTGGAGAAGAGAAAATTCTTGACCTTACCAGGACTTGAATTCCGACCCCTTGGTCATCCAGCCCATAGCCAGTTGCTATGCCAACTACAATATCCTGGCTCCTCAATTCAAATCAGTAACAAAATAAAAATTAATGTCACAGTGCAGTGGCTAGCACGATGCTTGGGTCAAATCTCATCTTGGAGACTGGCTACCTGGGGATGTTTCATGATTTTCCAGTCCCCTGAGACATCATATTTTGGTGCTACACGTTTTACTCTGTAGCTTTATGATCCAATGTTAATTTGTTCATACTGTCTTCATTTTTCTTAGGTTCAACTATTTTGCTCAGTACTCAGTGACAAATTGGGTTAGGTTAGGACAACTGATGTAGTTCACTCACATTAAGTATGTATCAGGTCTAGTATGAGTAAATAGAAGCAGAATACAAATACTGTGACCAGTGCTGCGAAGATGGAATGGAGCTAATAAAACTACAAGCATGGTTACAATGTTGTAAAGCTGTGCCCAATTACATTCTGTTTTTTAAGGTTCATTTTAAAATGCTATCAATACAGCATCAAATGGTGGGATGTTAGTGAATGATGTACTGGAATGCCTTTGGAAAGAAGCAGTCGTGGCATAATAAAGGTTGTATCCTGACAATTGTCTAGAGGAACCTTGGTCAAATAGCCCATGTCCTGGCCAAGATTTGAATTATGTATCCTTTTAATAAAAGCCTTGAACATTAACAAAACAAACAACCTGCTCTATAAATAAAGCACCCTCATACAATAGCAAATTTAAAGCAAATAAATGTGAAAGTCCCATATGAAAGAGCTAATATTAGTTCACCAATAAAATTGTAACTGTGTACCCATTTTTTCTAATCTTAGTCTACGTGCTGGCTACCTTAGCAGAAATTGTTATGGCTTTCCTCAGTTCCGTCAGGATAATGCTGGGACAAAACCTTAAAACAGGCAATGCATAATGTGACCCACGTCTTTCAAAGGTGATTCACAATTACCCTACCATTCAATGCCACATAATTTGTGCTCTTAAAAAAGAACCACTGAAGATTCAATCACTCACACAGCATGATGAGACAGGTGTGGACACAGGTACAGCGGGAAGGGCAGCAGTGAAGTGAAGTTAGCATCTACTCAATAGTACTTTGTCTGATACCTGAACACTAGAGTTCACATCATCCTCAGACCTGGGCTCAATGAAATATTCTCACATAAAGCACCAATTGAAAGTAATCAGCACGAGCACAAGTACAGTTATTGCATTCAGTATTCCAAAGCAAAGCCTCACATTCAGGTTTGTTCCTAGGAGCTGGGCTAGTGAACTTTATTCTCCTTCACCAAGCCATATTATCCGCAGAATGTCAGTAAACACCATTAGAAGTCAACATGTAACGCATATAAAAATGCATGTGTCAAAAGAAGAAAAAGAGCAAGGCAGTGCAAGAGATGGAGAGGGGGGGAAAAAAAAGAAGAAAAGAGAATCTAAGCTACATTAAACTAAGTAAGGTAAAGTAGAGTAAAGGTATCCCTGTAACAGGCCATGAAGGCCCATAGGGTTGTGAGAGGTTTAGGCTCCCACATCTTCTAGACAATCAGCTCACAGATGGCGGTAAGATTGTCAGCCTTACACACCGACTGCCCTTTACCACCCAGGAAGATTCTTGGCACTCATTTCTGTTAGAGGCTGAGTCAACCCCAGGGCCACAGTGCAGCTGAAAGGATTTGGTGAATTTAAAAAAATCCACCTCATTGGGACTTGAACCTGTGACCTTCCACCGTGTAGCATAGTGCCACAACGAACTATGCTACCGCATACCCCCTACATTAACCCAAACACACTTAAAATAACAGATACAAACATGTACTTACATAAAATAAAATAAATTCAGATGGACCTAAACTAATGTTGACCAAAATGACTCAGTAGGTGGTATGTGGTTAATAAGATGGGGTACCCAAAAGAAACCGAACTAATTTTTTTGTGGGCAGAGCTTTTGTAGTACCACATTTTGTCGCTATGAGCGCACAGAGCTAACATTCCTCAGTCGATAAGCTGACTACCGTTGCTTCAGAAGGTAAGGACTAGTTTCGGCAGAGTTTATAGTGACAACTGTTTTGTGTGATTGTCGTTTTTGCAGTGGCTGATTTTCATGAACAGCGTGCGGCGGTGAAATTCTGCTTTTTGCTCGGGAAAAGTGGAACAGAAACTCTTGAAATGTTAAAAACGGCGTACAAGGACGATGCTATGGGGAAAACTCAAGTGTTTGAGTGGTTTT